TCCTATCAAACACGCTCAGCATACCGCTGGGAAGTCCCCAAACCCCTTGCACACAAAAACCCCCTTTTTTCCCCCCTCTCCAACCATCCAGGCCCACCCCTACCCCGGGCCCCCTTCCACACAGACTGAACACTCTTGAAGTCTTCGTTTTGGGGTCCATTCTCCTTCATGTCCGAACCACCCAAAAAACCCTTCCTCAGCCTCTGGACAACAGTTTTGGGTATCCCGCACCCCTCCTAACTTTCCCAAACCCACGAATTCTCTGCATTATTTCACACCCCCCATTTTCCCCCAGACATGACATCTCCACTGCCTCCAGCCTTCTCCTCGCTGCAAAATTCATCACCCCGTTCACACCCTAAAGACGTTTTAAAAAAATAATATATAATAATATTAATATATATAATAATATATAATTATATATATATATAAAAATATTATATTATATAGTTTAAAATATATATATATATATATATATATATAATAAATTATATATATATATATTATTATTATAAAATAAATAATATAGGTTTAAAAATATATATATATAGGTAGTAGTTGGGAGACAGCAACCACCCAGGGAAGTACTACCTCCTGCCAGATACTGTGAAACAAAAACCGTAACGTTTTGCATGATGGTAGGATTGCTGGGTTTTTTTTTCTTCCAAAACACGCTAAGATAAAAGGGATATCTTCTACCCTACTTACACTTTTGGGCACACTTCACAGACACGCACAGCAATTTTATATTACATACACAGGTTTTCCTCCTTTTTTTTAAATAGCTCTTTTTCTTTTTTATTTCTTTTATTTTTCCATGGGGAAGTGGAAAAGAAAACTTTCCTCCGTAACCGCGGTGTTGAGGCACTAAAAAAGCCCGGGGGCAATGGGCTATAAACCCCCTTTCCCGTATACAATTTCTAAAAAAGAGAAGAAGAAAAACTTTTTAAAACTGGGTTCTTAAAAATGCGGGATGTAGTGGGATGAAAAAAAAACAAAGATTGTGATGTTATGAATGAAAGAAGTTGGGTGTCCTGGCCCTAACGAAACAAAAATGAAGGGGGGGGAGAGTTTTTAGAGGGGGGGAAAAAAGGGGTTAAATTTTGGAGTTCTAGAGAGTTAGACAAAGGAAGGGGTAGAGTAATGTTAAATGATCAGTTATGGAAGGAAAAGAGAATAGAAAGGTAAATTTAAGAATTAGTGGATTAAAGAAAGGTTGGATGCGAGAAGTGGGGCTAATAAGCGTGTTGCCCGGAGAAGAGAGGGAAAGCAGAGGGGAAAAGAGAGATTTGGGAGTGTTTTAAATGAATGTATAGGACCTTTTTAACCAAGGAGAGAGTAATTGTGGGAGGGGACTTGAATGCAAAGTAGGAAAAAACTTTTGAGAGGGTGTGGGAGGGAAGTTTGGGGTCCAGGGGTAAATGAAATGGGAGCCCTTTGATTTAACTTTTTTAGAAAAGGGGGTTTAGTTATAGGGAATACATATTTTAAAAAAAAAGAGGGTAAATAAGTATACACGATATGATGTAGGGCGAAATGACAGTAGTTTGTTGGATTATGTATTGGTAGATAAAAGACTGTTGAGTAGACTTCAGGTTTGTACATGTTTATAGAGGGGCCACAGATATATCAGATCACTTTCTAGTTGTAGCTACACTGAGAGTAAAAGGTAGATGGGATACAAGGAGAATAGAAGCATCAGGGAAGAGAGGGGTGAAGGTTTATAAACTAAAAGAGAGGCAGTTAGGGTAAGATATTAAACAGCTATTGGAGGATAGATGGCTAAATGAGAGCATAGGCAATGGGGTCGAAGAGGTATGGGGTAGGTTTAAAATGTAGTTTTTAGATGTTCAGCAGAATTTGTGGTTACAGGAAAGGGGGTGCAGGAGGGAAGAGGAGCGATTGGTGGAATGATGATGTAAAGAGAGTAGTAAGGGAGAAAAAAGTTAGCATATGAGAAGTTTTTACAAAGTAGAAGTGATGCAAGGAGGGAAGAGTAAAATGGAGAAAAAGAGAGAAGTTAAGAGAGTGTGAAGCAATGTAAAAAGAGAGCAAATGAGAGAGTGGGTGAGATGTTATAAAACAAATTTTGTTGAAAATAAGAAAAAGTTTTGGAGTGAGATTAACAAGTTAAAAAGCCTAGAGAACAAATGGATTTGTCAGTTAAAAATAGGAGATGGAGAGTTATTAAATGGAGAGTTAGGGTATTGGGAAGATGGAGGGAATATTTTTTAGGGAAAGTTAAATGTTGATGAAGATAGGGAAGCTGTGATTTCGTGTATAGGGCCAAGGGGGAATAACATCTTGTAGGAGTGAAGGGAAAAGCCAGTTGTGAGTGTGGGGGAAGTTCGTGAGGCAGTAGGTAAAATGAAAAGGGGGCAAGGGCAGCCGGGATTGATGGGATAAAGATAGAAATGTTAAAAGCAGGTGGGGATATAGTTTTGGAGTGGTTGGTGCAATTATTTAATAAATGTATGGAAAAGGGTAAGGTACCTAGGATTGGCAGGGGGCATGCATAGTTCCCTTTTTATAAAGGCAAAGGGGATAAAAGAGAGTTTGCAAAAATTTAGGGGGATAAGTCTGTTGAGTGTACTGGGAAAGTGTATGGTAGAGTTATAATTGAAAGAATTAAGAGTAAGACGGAGAATAGGATAGCAGATGAACAAGGAGGCTTTAGGAAAGGTAGGGGGTGTGTGGACCAGGTGTTTACAGTGAAACATATAAGTGAACAGTATTTAGATAAGGCTAAAGAGGTCTTGTGGCATTTATGGATTTGGAAAAGGCGTATGACAGGGTGGATAGGGGGGCAATGTGGCAGATGTTGCAAGTGTATGGTGTAGGAGGTAGGTTACTGAAAGCAGTGAAGAGTTTTACGAGGATAGTGAGGCTCAAGTTAGAGTATGTAGGAAAGAGGGAAATTTTTTTCCCAGTAAAAGTAGGCCTTAGACAAGGATGTGTGATGTCACCGTGGTTGTTTAATATATTTATAGATGGGGTTGTAAGAGAAGTAAATGCGAGGGTCTTGGCAAGAGGCGTGGAGTTAAAAGATAAAGAATCACACACAAAGTGGGAGTTGTCACAGCTGCTCTTTGCTGATGACACTGTGCTCTTGGGAGATTCTGAAGAGAAGTTGCAGAGATTGGTGGATGAATTTGGTAGGGTTGTGCAAAAGAGAAAATTAAAGTGAATACAGGAAAGAGTAAGGTTATGAGGATAACAAAAAAGATTAGGTGATGAAAGATTGAATATCAGATTGGAGGGAGAGAGTATGGAGGAGGTGAACGTATTCAGATATTTGGGAGTGGACGTGTCAGCGGATGGGTCTATGAAAGATGAGGTGAATCATAGAATTGATGAGGGAAAAAGAGTGAGTGGTGCACTTAGGAGTCTGTGGAGACAAAGAACTTTGTCCTTGGAGGCAAAGAGGGAATGTATGAGAGTATAGTTTTACCAACGCTCTATATGGGTGTGAAGCGTGGGTGATGAATGTTGCAGCGAGGGAGAAGGCTGGAGGCAGTGGAGATGTCGTGTCTGAGGGCAATGTGTGGTGTGAATATAATGCAGGAATTCGTAGTTTGGAAGTTAGGAGAGGTGTGGGATTACCAAAACTGTTGTCCAGAGGGCTGAGGAAGGTTGTTGAGGTGGTTCGGACATGTAGAGAGAATGGAGCGAAACAGAATGACTTCAAGAGTGTATCAGTCTGTAGTGGAAGGAAGGCGGGGTAGGGGTCGGCCTAGGAAGGGTTGGAGGGAGGGGGTAAAGGAGGTTTTGTGTGCGAGGGGCTTGGACTTCCAGCAGGCATGTGTGAGCGTTTTTTGATAGGAGTGAATGGAGACAAATGGTTTTTAATACTTGACGTGCTGTTGGAGTGTGAGCAAAGTAACATTTATGAAGGGATTCAGGGAAACCGGCCAGGCCGGACTTGAGCCCCTGGAGATGGGAAGTACAGTGCCTGCACTCTGAAGGAGGGGTGTTAATGTTGCAGTTTAAAAACTGTAGTGTAAAGCACCCTTCTGGCAAACAGTGATGGAGTGAATGATGGTGAAAGTTTTTCTTTTTCGGGCCCACCCTGCCTTGGTGGGGAATCGGCCAGTGTGATAAAAAAAAAAATAAATATATATATATATATAATAATATATATATTTTAAAAATATATATATATATATATATATTATATATATATATATTATATATATATATATAATATATAAATTTCCCAGTCATCTGCAACTTCTCTTATGAATTTTCCAGTACCGTTCTCATCTTTAAACACCGACTTCGATAACTACCAGAGAAGTTATAAAATACATCTACAAACACTTCTCTCTGTATTATTTCGCAGCCCGTCAGCTATTCTTTTATTGAAAGGGCCTTAGCATGAAGCTGATATAAAGTGTACTCATCTTATTTAGAGTTTTTATATGCTTTCATTTTGTATATTTCACTGGTAAGTATTAATTACATTTGGTGTCTTGATATTCGCATTCACTAATTTCATTTGTTGTACTCTTTCCTTCTATAAAAAGAAAAGACATTATCTAAGACCTTCCTTGAGTATCTTTCCTTCTCCCATACATACTGAACATACTAAGCTTTCTATTATTTTATTTTACTCTACCTGATTTCAGCATTTTGAGTAAGATTGCAGTTGTGTTTTTCAATGTATATATACTTAAATTTTATTTCCCTTCTCTTATTTTTATATATCACATTATCCCATGTATCATCAGAGAAATAATGCCAGTAAATATGTAATGAATATTGATTCTCATAACACTGCTCCAAATAATTTGTTCTTTCATGAGGATTAGTGTTTAACCTGTCGGCCTTTGACCCAATATACAGTTTGGTTCTTATTTCCAGCCACGATGGTGACCCAGCAAGTTACTCTCACTATCACGCGACCTTGACTGACCTGGAGAGTCTCCCGGACGACCAGGTATATAAAGCAACAGCGAGTCGGTACACCACCACAACTCTTCCCGCCTCCTCTTCCTCAACACTACCTTAACACTAGCTCAACTTTAAACCATAACTTTCGGGCAATAACACACCACACTTAAATCAAAATCCGCTAACTCAACAACGGTTCACGATGAGGATTATAACATATATAATATTTGCAAGTGAGTATACTCGAATAATGTTATGCAATCAACCATCGAATATGAAAGCAGTAGATTCCCAACAATTATGATTATAACACATTTTACTAACATAGTCTAGTAGCAGTATGGCAGAGATGCTTTGTTAACACTGTCGTGAAGTGAAGCGTCCTGACGGTCGCTACTTCTGCTTAATAAACATTTTTCTCTCTTCGTACAGCTCTTCTTGGAGCATCACTGGGGATACAGCTGAATTACTTGGCACCTACAAATGGATTTAACGGCAATGGAGGCAATGGCAATGGATACAGAAACGGTAATGAAGGCCACAGTAATGGTAATGGTGGTTACACTAATGGCAACGGAATTGGCACCGGTGGTTACTCAAATGGAAATGGCGCATTCCCAAATGGAAACGGCAACGGAGGTCAAATAAATGGTAACGGTGGTTACGCAAATGGAAATGGAGGCTTTTCCAACGGATTTAACGGAAATGGAGCAGTTGCTAATGGATATTCAAATGAAAATGGATTCACAAACGGAAATGGTGGTTATTCCAACGGAAATGGCAATGGATATGTCAATGGTGGAATTAATGGAAATGGTAATGGTGTAACCAATGGGAATGGCTATGGAAATGGTGGATACAGCAACGGAGTGGCTAACGGAAACGGACTGGAGGATCCCATCACCGCCCTGGCTAATGCTGTAAGAGGTGAACCCGGCGTGGACTATCCCATCCTGGCTTACGTACCCGACACAGGATTTACCTGCGGTGGACAGATCCCTGGATACTACGCTGATACTGCCCTAGAGGCCGGCTGTCAGGTGAGTGTCATTCTGCCCCCGAGGCTGGCTGTCGGGTGAATCTCATACTCTCCCTGAGGTTGGCTGTCAGGTGAGTAAAATACTGCCCCCGAGGCTGGCTATCAAGTAAGTCTCATCCTGTCCATGAAGTTGGCTGTCAAGTGAGTCTTACACTATCCCTGAGACCAGCTGTTAGGTGAGACTTATGTCTGGACGCAGTGGTCAGCTGTCATTTGATTATTATTCTGCCCTTGAGACTTTTAAGTCAGGTAAATCGAACACTGCCTTCGAGGGCAGCTGTTGAACATATTGGTATAGTTAATTCTCCCTAATTTTATGAATAAGTCAATGGCTATATACTGTCCATTCATACCACGGCAATCAGTATTTCTTGAAGCCTATTTTAATTTTTGCAGCAATGATGGTGCTTTCTGTAGCTGTTCAATAGGTTAACTTCTCATGAAGAATATTCAACCACCTCATGCAAAACTTTTATGTTTCCTACACGATGAGCAGCTTGTGATTGTGAACTAATTGTTTTAAATTAATGATTCAACATTTTTGTCGTAGTGAGATCTTGGAATTTTAATTACTAATTTATTTTTGCAGTCAATCAGATAATAATTCAATATGCAAATTATGATAAAACCAGAAAAAATGAAAATAACAATAGCAAGTCTCATACCAAGACAAGTTTGTGATACTCGGCATAAAGGAGCAGTCGAACATTGTCCTAAGTTCAGGAACATGTTTAAATACTTCACTAAAGATCTTCAAGTTACATACCAGTAGCAACACGAGAAGTGGCAGGTCTTTCACATGTACAATACTAATGCACTGCTTCTCTGAAGCTATTGTCCTGGACCGGTGTTTCACTTCCGTCGGTAATAATACGCTGCTTCTTTTATTGTTGTCTTTCACAGGTGTTCCACATCTGTCAGGCAGATGGCAGGAGCGACTCTCTCCTGTGTCCCAACGGTACCATCTTCAACCAGCAGTACTTCGTGTGTGATTGGTGGTACAACTTCGACTGTTCCACCGCCCAGCAGTTCTATGGTCTCAACGCTCAGATCGGAGTCGTCAGTGGTAATGGTAATGGATACTCCAACGGCGTCGTTAATGGTATTATTAATGGTAATGGAATTTACGCCAACAGATTAAACGGAAATGGTGCACTTAATGGAAATGGATTCACTACCATTGGAAATAGATACAGCAATGGCGTTAATGGAAATGGTTTAGCCTCTGTTAATGGCAATGGCTACTCAAATGGTAATGGATATTCAAATGGAATTGGCAACGGTAACGGAAATGGCAATGGAGTTAATGGAAATGGTTACACTAATGGAAATGGGTACACCAATGGAAATGGCTTAATTAATGGCAACGGTAATGGTTACACAAATGGCAATGGTTACACTAATGGTAATGGCGTAATTAATGGTAATGGTTATACAAATGGCAATGGAATTAACGGAAATATATACAGAAACGGTAATGGGGTTAATGGCAATGGATACACAAATGGTAATGGTTTAATTAATGGCAATGGAAATGGTTTTATCAATGGCAATGGCTACACAAACGGTAATGGCTTGACAAATGGCAATGGGGTCAACGGAAATGGATACAGCAATGGTAATGGAGTCAGTGGTAATGGTCACGCAAACGGTAATGGAGTCAATGGAAATGGTTACACAAACGGTAATGGAGTCAACGGAAATGGTTTCATAAACGGTAATGGAGTCAACGGAAATGGTTTAACGAACGGCAACGGAGTTAACGGTAATGGGTTAACCATATCAGCACCAGCGTCTCCCTCCGGCCTGTACCAAACACCGGTCTTCTAGACATTGTTAATGGTAATGGGTGTAACACAATGGTGGTAGCCTTACACTCCGGCCTATTTCAGACACCCAACTTCAGAGTCACTTGACTCTCAACTGTTGTAAACAGTTTATAATACAATGATAGCTGCTGTTGAACTTTTGTCTGTCTTTCTTTACTTCGAGAATTCAAGTTAATTTTCCCCAAGAGGACACTACAAGTACTAAGGTAAACTGCTGAACCGGACATACAGAGAAACACAAGGTGATGGCTGGGTCAGGCCACACCAGACTACATCTTTACTAAACTGTTGCTTGCCAAAACTCTTGTAAACTCATAGATTTATATAAATGTAAGTGGAACACGCTAGACATATATTTGTACATAGATGTTAAAGTTTAAACTCCATAAACTACAATTAATGTTCTTATTTATTCTGCTTCCAAACTTTTATGTCACTTTTCTTTGCTATAAATGTTTTTATATATTTTCTTACAATTATTTTTTTAAACCTTAACAAATAAATATTATATAACGTTGATCGTTTTAATTCCTTTTCACATTTTTTTCTATAAAATGCTGCAGATAATGTACATACATTACGAAAGTAATCAATATTACCTGTAGTTGGTTTCGGGGATCAACGCCACAGCGGTCTGGTCTATGACCAGGCCTCGCAGTGGATCAGGACCTGATCAACTAGGCTGTTACTACCGTCCGCACGTAAACCAACATATAAGCCACAGCCTATGAGTCTACTTGTAATCCCCCTTATGTATGGTGGGAGGCAGTTGAACAGTCTTGGGCCCCTGACACTTACTGTGTTGTCTCTTAGTGTACTCGTCGTGCCCCTGCTTTTCATTGGGGGGATGCATCGCCTGCTGAATCCTTTGCTTTCGTAGGTAGTGATTTCCGTGTGTAGATTTGAGACTAATCCCTCTAGAATTTTCCAAATGCATATTATGTATCTTTCTCACCTGCAAATCAAGGGACTTAACCATTCCCAGCAATTTAAGTGCTTTATTGTATTAAACGTGCCATGACAGTTCTATGTATATTCTCAAGGTCTACAATTCCGCCTGCCTTGAAAGGGGTCGTTAGTGTACAGCAATATTCCAGCCTAGAGAGAACATGCAATTTGAAGAGAATTATCATGGGTTTAGCAACTCTAGTTACAAAGGTTCTCATTATCCATCCTATCATTTACCTAGCAGATGTGTTAGATACATTGTTGTAATCTTTGAAAGTGAGTCTCTGACATTATTACTCCCAGGTCCTTCACATTAGTTTTTTGCTCTGTTGTGTAGTTTTAATTTGTTTATACTCCGATCCAGTTTTTATTTCCTCGAGTTTTCCATAGCGGAGTAATTGAAATTTGTTTTCATTGAATTTCATGTTGATTTCTGACGTCCATTTAAAGATTTGGTTAATATACGCTTGGAGATCTGAATGTCTTCGATGGATGACACTGTCATGCAAATTCGGGTATCATCAGCAAAGGAGGACACGGTGCTGTGGCTTATATCTCTCTCTGTGTCAGATATGACGATGAGGAAAGGGATGGGAGCAGATGTAGAACAGAGCTTTTCCCTGTAGCTGCCCCTGACTTTACTGTTTACTATTACTCCTTGTGTTCTGTTTGTTAGGAAGTTATAGATCCATATACCTACTTTTCCTGTTATTCCTTTATCACACATTTTCTGTGCTATTACACCATAATCACATTTACTGAAGGCTTTCGCAGTCTGTGTATAATTACATATGCAGTTTATTTGTCCTTCAGGACATCCAAGACCATGTCATAGTGGTCCAGTAGCTGTGAGAGACAGGAGCGATCTGCTCTAAACCCATGCTGCCCCGAGTTGTGCAACTGATGGGTATCTAAGTGGTTGGCGATCTTGTTTCTTAGAACCCTTTCAAAGATTTTGATGATTGGGGACGTTAATACTGTCGGTTTGTAATTTTTTGCAATTCCTTTACTGCCACCTTTGTGGAGTGGGGCTATGACTGTTGCTTTAGAGACTGTAGAATGCCCCCCGTGTCTTTGCTCTCTCTCCATAGAATATTTAAGGAACTTGTTACGAGTTTCCTGCAGTTCCTGATGAACACGGTGTTTCGAGAGTCTGGGCCTAGGTCAGAGTGCATGGGCATGCCATTTATTGTGTTTTCAAAGTTCTGTGGTGTTAGGATTATGTCAGAAATTCTTGAATTCTGTTGTCTCAATCATAAAAAAAAATTAGATTGTCGACCATTTGACTGATTAACGGCTCACTAAATGCAGTCATACTGGGACTTTAGTATTTCATTCAGTCTTTGCAGTCATCCGTGTAAGTCCCATCTCGTTCAAACAGGGATTCACTACTGGATGTGGTTTTTGTCCTACATTTAGCATAAGAAAAGAAGTATTTTGTTTTTTATTTTCATTTATGGTTTTAAATTCCTCCTGCGTTTTTTGGCTCCTGTATGAGTCCTTAAACTTAGGTTCGATTTTTCTATTTCTCTGGCCAGAGCCTCCTTGGTATTTCACATATACTGGCCCCTATCAGTTTTCTTTTTGAAATAATACACAATTAAAGTTTACCATTCCATAACCTATGTTTAGTTTTAAGTAGTCTATAATCATTAGGATTAGTCTTCTCGAAATGCTCATACATGCTAGTGGCTTTCTTTGTGCTTAACAGCTGTATAGTCCTTGTGGCTTAGCGCTTCTTTTTGATTATAATAATATAATAATTTGTGCTTAACAATACTTTATTACATGTAAACTAGTTTGTATACTACAGATTATTATTATTATAATCAAAAAGAAGCGCTAAGCCACAAGGGCTATACAGCGCTGCTGTATACTACAGAAAAAATTGAATTTTGAATTTTGATCTTTTTTTTATTGGTTTGAAAGTGCCGATATAACTTATGACGTTTGTAAGTTAGCAACCATCCTCCAGAACAAACTTCGTTTTAACAGTGACCAAGACAGTCAAAAAAAAAAAAAAACATGTGCAACACTAAAATGTTTTAATGATTTTGTGGTGTTATGCTTCCAAAGTCTTTAAAATAGTTCATCGCTTTCTGCTTCCTCAATAGGTAATCTCACCTTTTATAATACATTTATTGATGTAAGGGACTGATTACCTCATCTTTTTACCTCTTCAGTCTTCTAAGTCCCTGTCATCATGAGTTTCATTTTGTATTGCAGGTCGTGTATTCGTTTGTTACCTGCAATCCCATCATTCCCTGGGGAATAGCAGAACTTGTCTTTTCATCATGTGTAGAAAGGGGCAGCTTTTCCTCAATCATCTGGAGAACAGAGTGGACAGGTGCATAGTGAGCATCCTCCATGTCTTCTTTCAACAAACTGGCCGTATCCCACCGAAGCAGGGTGGCCCAAAAAGAAAAGCAAAAGTTTCACTTTTTAACTTCAGTAATATATACAGGAGAAGGGGTTACTAGCCGCATCTTCCATTTATTATATGGAATTCCAACAGCCACTATGGAAAATTTTGAATTTTCCTAAATTTAGCATGTGTAAATTTGAATAATATAATAAGTGTGTATTAAAATGTGATACTGATTTAACCTTTCGAGAAATTTCGAGTGAGGGGGGGCATGTGGAACAGCCACGAAGCGGACGGGGGAAGATGCCATAGTGAATTTAATGTGTGTACACTGGTTGTTACAATACTCATGTAATCAGGTGTCATCAAAGTTCAATTGGTGTATATTGAACTCAATCCATAATTTAGAAACTGATGACACATTCTTGCTGAAGAATTGGGATAGTGTGGAAAACCCTTTCAATTCAGCTACAAGGACGGGAAAAAAGGGGATTTCAATCCTTCCCAGCAGCACACTTTAGAAAAGTGATACTTCCCATAACGTACAGTAGTTTTCCACTGGCCATCAAAAATTCTCGCTGTTAGGGTAGTGTTAGGGTGTGCAAAATAATAATTGTGATCCAGTAATTAAATGATAAGTGGTAATACAAATTTCTTTTCTAATAACACCATTATAATTTATGTACAATAATTATATTGAGTATACCAGGAAAAGTGTACGGTAGGGTCATAATTGAAAAAATTAGAGGTAAGACAGAATGTAGGATTGCGGATGAGCAAGGAGGTTTCAGAGTGGGTAGGGGATGTGTAGCTCAAGTGTTTACATTGAAGCATATATGTGAACAGTATTTAGATAAAGGTAGGGAAGTTTTTGTTGCATTTATGGATTTAGAAAAGGCATATGATAGAGTGGATAGAGGAGCAATGTGGCAGATGTTGCAAGTACATGGAATAGGTGGTAAGTTATTAAATGCTGTAAAGAGTTTTTATGAGGATAGTGAGGCTCAGGTTAGGGTGTGTAGAAGAGAGGGAGACTACTTCCCGGTAAAAGTAGGTCTTAGATGGGGATGTGTAATGTCACCATGGTTGTTTAATATATTTATAGATGGGGCTGTAAAAGAAGTAAATGCTAGGGTGTTCGGGAGAGGGGTGGGATTAAATTATGGGGGGGAATCAAATACAAAATGGGAATTGACACAGTTACATGATACTGTGCTTATGGGAGATTCTAAAGAAAAATTGCAAAGGTTAGTGGATGAGTTTGCAAAGGTAGTAAGTTGAAAGTGAACATAGAAAAGAGTAAGGTGATGAGAGTATCAAATGATTTAGATAAAGAAAAATTGGATATCAAATTGGGGAGGAGAAGTATGGAAGAAGTGAATGTTTTCAGATACTTGGGAGTTGACGTGTCGGCGGATGGATTTATGAAGGATGAGGTTAATCATAGAATTGATGAAGGAAAAAAGGTGAGTGGTGCGTTGAGGTATATGTGGAGTCAAAAAACGTTATCTATGGAAGCAAAGAAGGGAATGTATGAAAGTATAGTAGTACCAACACTCTTATATGGATGTGAAGCTTGGGTGGTAAATGCAGCAGCAAGGAGACGGTTGGAGGCAGTGGAGATGTCCTGTCTAAGGGCAATGTGTGGTGTAAATATTATGCAGAAAATTCGGAGTGTGGAAACTAGGAAAAGGTGTGGAGTTAATAAAAGTATTAGTCAGAGGGCAGAAGAGGGGTTGTTGAGGTGGTTTGGTCATTTAGAGAGAATGAATCAAAGTAGAATGACATGGAAAGCATATAAATCTATAGGGAAGGAAGGCGGGGTAGGGGTCGTCCTCGAAAGGGTTGGAGAGAGGGGGTAAAGGAGGTTTTGTGGGCGAGGGGCTTGGACTTCCAGCAAGCGTGCGTGAGCGTGTTAGATAGGAGTGAATGGAGACGAATGGTACTTGGGACCTGACGATCTGTTGGAGTGTGAGCAGGGTAATATTTAATGAAGGGATTCAGGTAAACCGGTTATTTTCATATAGTCGGACTTGAGTCCTGGAAATGGGAAGTACAATGCCTGCACTTTAAAGGAGGGGTTTGGGATATTGGCAGTTTGGAGGGATATGTTGTGTATCTTTATATGTATATGCTTCTAAACTGTTGTATTCTGAGCACCTCTGCAAAAACAGTGATAATGTGTGAGTGTGGTGAAAGTGTTAAATGATGATGAAAGTATTTTCTTTTTGGGGATTTTCTTTCTTTTTTGGGTCACCCTGCCTCGGTGGGAGACAGCCAACTTGTTGAAAAAAAAAAAAAATTATATTGTGTACCCAGCAAGCCATCATATACAGTCCACATTATTTTATAATTTACCATTATTGGTAATAATGTTTAATACTGTAATTATTAATTTAATGTCAGGTCTAGCTTTTTGTGAGTGGTGATGTAGTGGGCATTGAGGAAGTGACAGTTCTGCGACCTACTGTGACTAAGTCCCACTTACCTTGCCCAAATTACTTGCATGTAATAATTCAGGTAACACGCCCTGTAAACCTCATGTAATTGCTCACATAATAATTCAAAAGCCTTTGATTCTAACAAACTCAGATATGTAATCAGGAAGAATTTAATTTAATTATCTGATTGCAAGTAATGAACTGTTGGGTTCACATATAATTGACAATACTTAATTAATTGTTTGGTGGATTATAGTTGCCACAATTAATTGAATTTGCATGCCCAGTGGGGCTGGAATTGTATTTCTTATACTTTTGAAATATTAATGGATGTGTGTAATTATTATATAAATTATATGCTAAGCCCAGTGAGGCTAGGACTGTAATTTCTATAATTGTTAATTTGCTAAGCCGTTAGGGCGAGGAATGATAATTGCCTTCTTTCTCATCATAATAATTATAATTAATTCGCTAAGCCAGGAAATACTTGGCTAGGATATTTGGTGCATATTTTGGACATGTATAGAGGATGGAATGAAACAGAATGACTTCGAGAGTATAAATCTGTAGTGGAGGGAAGGCGAAGTAGGGGTTGGCCTAGGAAAGGTTGGAGGGACGGGGTAAAAGAGGTTTTGTGTGCAAGGGGGCTTGGACTTCAAGCAAGCGTGCATGAGCGTGTTAGATAGGAGCAAATGGAGACAAATGGTTTCTAGGACTTGACATGCTGTTGGAGTGTAAGCAAGGTAACATTTATGAAGGGATTCAGGGAAACCAGGAGGCCCGACTTGATTCCTGGAGATGGGAAGTACAGTGCCGGTACTCTGAAGGAGGGGTGCTAATGTTGCAGTTTTATGACTGTAGTGTAAGCATGCCTCTGGCAAGACAGTGATGGAGTGAATAATGATGAAAGTTTTTCTTTTCCAGGCCACCCTGCCCTGGTGGGAAACGGCCAATGTGTTAATAAAAAAAATAATTTGGTGCATATTGTAATAAATTATATCCAGGCTCATTGTATAATTTTTACAGCCAGTGTTCATTAAGAAGCCATGGATGAGGTTAGTGTAATTAATGCAAAGGAAAAATCCATGGGAATTAAAGCTATAAAGGCATCATTAAATGCAAAAAACATCATGTGACCAGAGCTTATAATAAATGCCTGGAAATGGTGGCAGAAGAAATTGTGAATAAGGTTAATTTATAATTATATTTTGAATCATTAGAGAACAGGTTTTTTTTTTTTTTTTTTTCAACAAGTCGGTCGTCTACCACCGAGGCAGGGTGACCCAAAAAAGAAAGAAAATCCCCAAAAAGAAAATACTTTCATCATCATTCAACACTTTCACCACACTCACACATTATCACTGCTTTTGCAGAGGTGCTCAGAATACAACAGCTTAGAAGCATATACAGTGGACCCCCGGTTAACGAACTTTTTTCATTCCAGTAGTATGTTCAGGTGCCAGTACTGACCGAATTTTTTCCCATAAGGAATATTGTGAAGTAGATTAGTCCATTTCAGACCCCTAAACATACACGTACAAACGCACTTACATAAATACACTTACATAATTGGTCGCATTTGGAGGTGATCGTTAAGCGGGGGTCCACTGTACGTATAAAGATACACAACATATCCCTCCAAACTGCCAATATCCCAAACCCCTCCTTTAAAGTGCAGGCATTGTACTTCCCATTTCCAGGACTCAAGTCCGACTATATGAAAATAAATATAAATTGTATTACACAGAATATGAAGGTGAACTGCTGGTGAATTGTGCAGATGATAATGAAAGGGAATTATTAATTAATCAATATTATGAACTGGAAGAGAAAATATTATCATGTAAAAGTGAGGTATTAAATAAATTAAAATGTGTAAATACTGCAGTTGACCAATCTAGTAATGTCAATGCCCGGTCTTTGCCCAAACTCCCAGAGTTATCTCTACCAACATTTAATCCAGGAGACAACTGGGAAGAATTCTGGTCAGTATTTAAGGCTTATCTCAATGGGCAGGTCAGAAATAATGCTTATGCCCTGATTCAAGGATTTCAAAATATAGACTCCAGTTACCTAGAAAGTGCAGGTACTGTACTTCCCACATTCAGAACTCAGTACTTCCCACCTCCAGGACTCAAATCTGGCTAACCAGTTTCCTTGAATCTCTTCATTAATGTTACTTTGTTTACACTCCAACAGCATATCAAGTCATAAAAGCCATTCATCTCCACTTGCTCCTATCTAACACGCTCGTGCACACTTGCTGGAAGTCCAAGCCTCCTTACACATAAAACCTCCTTTACCCCCTCCCTCACAAAAACTTTCATCTCTGATTACAATTAAATTTCCACTCATCCTGGAATGACATAAATAATGTAAAAAAAAGGTTCATCACACAGTGAAAACATTTTAAAGGATGATAATTTAAAGGCAAATTACTGGGTGCCATGTTGCAGAGATAATCTTATACACTATCACAGTCATAACTTTGAGCATCCAGTGTTTGATTCAGCACCCAACTAGGGATGGTTGGTGATAATTTAGCATACTGTGAAAAAGATGTTCATTCTCCATTTCCAGGCCCCTAACTTTCATAAATTTTGTTTAAAAAATACTTGGGAATAAAAAAATAACTTGCAAGGCAACAATTTATTTTGCATATCTAAAAAATGCCTCTTTAAATATTTAAAAGCTGTTATAAAAAGTGTCTCTTGCTACCTGTACATATAAAAAGTGGGACTTGCAAAAGAAAGAGGCTAGCTACCTAATGTCAAAGACAAATTGATGTGACAAGCTCAGTGCAAAAGTTATTCACATTATGACAATAAAGGTTAAATGACAGAAGCCAAGAATTTACTACCTCTAAATGGTGCTACTTTGTAGTGTTTCTCAAATATTTGTAAACTTCTGTTGTAATTTTTCAAAACTTTTGAGTTAATAATCACAAAAAACATGGTCTTTAATACATTTATATTTCAATTCAAGTTTTTTAGTTTAATATTTAAAGGTTTATGAGTAGTTCCTTGCAAGTAAGGCAGTTCAAACTTCTTTACAATTTTTAGATACAGTAACTTCACTCTGTCAGGATTCCTTATTTTGCCTTCATCTTCAGTATATTAAACATCATGACTACTTCTCAGTGTAGTTGTTTCTGCAGCATTTGCGAACAAGTGTCTCGAAACATGGGTCGATGATCTTTAATCAGGAACTGTTCAAACTCTAAAACAATAAATATGATTAGTATACAGTAATTCCTTTTAATAAAAATATCTGGATTTAAATTTTAAAATAATCCTCAATAAAAAATTTCACAATTATACATGAATATATATTGCAATACAGTCGTAAACAGGCAATCTTGACAATGCAAGACAAGCCATGGGAGAACATAAAACTTCAGTTCAAGATTTTTCACACATCTCTGTGTGTCATCAGGAGCTATGCAATGCTGTAAGAACAGCAACAGGTGGATTGAGGAAAAGTTTTCTCAGAGGGAAGATAACATGATGACACTGGCATGTTCCAACTCAGCCAGCATCAACACGCTACCTTCCCTCTGCGAAAACTTTCCTTCAGTCCACCTGTTGCTGTTCTTGGAACATTGCATAGCTTCTGATGATGCACAAAGACATGCAAAAAGATCTTGAGCTGAAGATTTCAATCCCCCTGTGACTTGTCTTGCATGAATACATATGAAAGGTACTGTCTGCAAGCTTATGACAGACAAAACATCAGCTGAATGAATTATGTTGAATGTGTTTCATTCTTTGGATCAGCCTACCTTGGTGGGAGATGACCTGTGGTAAAATAAATAAATAAATTATTAAATAAAAAATGCTTACTTCTAAAGAGTCGGTGATGTTGAGGATTGTCGATAAAAAGGGAAGTTAGAATGTCCACCACTCTCTCATAATCACTGCTTTGCTTATAATTCTTTACTGCTGCTGAGAAATCAGCATATTTTTCTTTGCTCAGTGATGACTTTACCTGTAAATTCAAGAGTACAAATATGTATTATTTTTGGTTGTCGCACCATGTGTTAATAATACATATACAGTGGACCCCCGGTTAACGAACTTTTTTCATTCCAGTAGTATGTTCAGGTGCCACTACTGACCGAATTTTTTCCCATAAGGAATATTGTGAAGTAGATTAGTCCATTTCAGACCCCCAAACATACACGTACAAACGCACTTACATAAATACACTTACATAATTGGTCGCATTTGGAGGTGGTCGTTAAGCGGGGGTCCACTGTACAGCATTAGTATCCTTTGCACATGACTGTTTCCCACCACTAACAGCTCTGCCTCCCCCTTGACTATATTTTACATTCTGCTTCCCCTATACTATCTTTTACACTTCTGCTGTGTTATGCTGAATGACCCTAATGGGTTTAGCACTTTTTATGAATATAATAATAATTTTCTTTCACACCCTCCTTCAAATTAATTTCAGACATTCCCTACACTTCCATCCATACTAAATTCTTGTACTCTCCTAATAAAACTTTTTTGCTTCATTCTTTCTACATGACCACGCTGTTTCAACAACCCCACAGAAATTTTAATTATACTTTTCATGCCACCAGTCTTCCACATTTTGTTAATACATAATAATCACACCATGTATGGACTTCAGACGAGACATTTTCACTAGCTACAACCTTGAAAGACCGAGCTTCACACCCATATAAGTTTTAGCATCACTATGCTCTAGTACGTATGTGCCTACCTTTTAGGTATCAAATGACGAACCTGTCTTTCCACAAGTTCCTTAGCACTCTTGTAATTTTCTAATATATTTTGTAATTTACCTCATCAATTACAAACTCAGCAAATTCAAAATCTATTTTATTTCATATCCCATGTCACCGTGGTTGTTTAATATATTTATAGATGGGGTTGCAAGAGAAGTAAATTCGAGGGTCTTGGCAAGAGGCGTGGAGTTAAAAGATAAAGAATCACACATAAAGTGGGAGATGTCACAGCTGCTCTTTGCTGATGACACTGTGCTCTTGGGAGATTCTGAAGAGAAGTTGCAGAGATTGGTGGATGAATTTGGTAGGGTGTGCAAAAGAAGAAAATTAAAAGTGAATACAGGAAAGAGTAAGGTTATGAGGATAACAAAAAGATTAGGTGATGAAAGATTGGATATCAGATTGGAGGGAGAGAGTATGGAGGAGGTGAATGTATTCAGATATTTGGGAGTGGACGTGTCAGCGAATGGGTCTATGAAAGATGAGGTGAATCATAGAATTGATGAGGGGAAAAGGGTGAGTGGTGCACTTAGGAGTCTGTGGAGACAAAGAACTTTGTCCTTGGAGGCAAAGAGGGGAATGTATGAGAGTATAGTTTTACCAACGCGGGTGTGAAGCATGGGTGATGAATGTTGCAGCGAGGAGAAGGCTGGAGGCAGTGGAGATGTCATGTCTGAGGGCAATGTGTGGTGTAAATATAATGCAGAGAATTCGTAGTTTGGAAGTTAGGAGGAGGTGCGGTATTACCAAAACTGTTGTCCAGAGGGCTGAGGAAGGGTTGTTGAGGTGGTTTGAACATGTAGAGAGAATGGAGCGAAACAGAATGACTTCAAGAGTGTATCAGTCTGTAGTGGAAGGAAGTCGGGGTAGGGGTCGGCCTAGGAAAGGTTGAAGGGAGGGGGTAAAGGAGGTTTTGTGTGTGAGGGGCTTGGACTTCCAGCAGGCATGCGTGAGCGTGTTTGATAGGAGTGAATGGAGACAAATGGCTTTTAATACTTGACGTGCTGTTGGAGTGTGAGCAAAGTAACATTTATGAAGGGGTTCAGGGAAACCGGCAGGCCGGACTTGAGTCCTGGAGATGGGAAGTACAGTGCCTGCACTCTGAAGGAGGGGTGTTAATGTTGCAGTTTAAAAACTGTAGTGTAAAGCACCCTTCTGGCAAGACAGTGATGAAGTGAATGATGGTGAAAGTTTTTCTTTTTCGGGTCACCCTGCCTTGGTTCCAATTGTCCCTAATTAGTTACCAATTCCACTCACTCAAATATAATCAGTAGTAAGGTATCATTGCTGGATGCCTCATTATCAGTCCCCTTGTCACTCTACTGCAAGATGCCCATATTAAGTTGAATGATGCATGGTAAAATACTATGATAAAATTTTCATTCTTCTGTTACTGCTTTCCATGGCAAACTTCCTTAACCCTTAAACTGTCCAAATGTAGATTTACGTTCACGTGCATAGCGCTCCTACCTTGATTTTCCCCATTTGAAAGCACGTAAAAAAAACGTTGATCTACGTTTGGAGCCCCCTGCAAGTGGATGTAGATCTACATTTGGACAGTTTAAGGGTTAAAGCAGACAGGTCAACATTAATGATTCAATTTAACTCACTATCTCGATTTACAAACTCCCCATCTCAGAATTGCTGTGACTCATTATCTATTATCACCTTTCATCTCACTATGTATTTTCTGGTTTTCTTCTTCCTTTCCAAGTTATGTATACCTGGCAGCTAAACATTTACAATGCTATCCTGTTTCTTAGTACAACCAAATGGCTATTGTTTCACTGCACAAGTCAAACTATCAAATAGAATATTTCAGGAAATGTTTTAAGTACTAATAAAGTTTTGAATAGTTAAAGGTGAAGAAACTGAATCACTATAACGTCCTGGAATAACTACAGTATTACACTCATTGAAGTGCCGTGAAGCTGTGAAAGGATATCCATATCCTGGTATATTCCTTTATTTACAGTATTACATTAGTAATATTATACTGCAAAGGTCAGTGGACGAGTTTGGGAGGGTATGTAAAGGTAGAAAATTGGATATGAACATAGATAACAGCAAAGTGATGAGAGTATCAAACGATTTAGATAAAGAAAAATTGGATATCACATTGGAGGGAGGGTGTGTGGAAGAAGTGAATGTTTTCAGATATTTGGCGGTTGACTTGTCAGTGGATGGGTTTATGAAGGATGAGGTTAACCACAGAAGTGATGAAGGAAAAAAGATGAGTGGTGCGTTAAGATATCTGTGGAGACAAAAAACGTTATCCATGGAGGCAAAGTGGGGAATGTATGAGAGTATAGTGGTACCAACAGTCTTATATGGGTGTGAAGCATGGATTGTAAATGCTGCAGCAAGAAGGAGGCTGGAGGCAATGGAGATGTCCTGTTTAAGGGCAATGTGTGGTGTAAATATTATGCAGAGAATTCATAGTGTGGAAATTAGGAGGAGGTGTGGAGTTACTAAAAGTATTAGTCCAAGGGATGAAGAGGGGTTGTTGAGGAGATTTGGTCATTTAGAGAATGGAACAAAGCAGAATGACTTGCAGACCTTATAAATCTGTAGGAGGAAGGCATGGTAGGGGTCATCCTCAAAAAGGTTGGAGGGAGGGGGTAAAGGTTTCGTGGGTGAGGGGCTTGGACTTCCAGCAAGAGTGCGTGAGCATGTTAGAAAAGAGTGAATGGAGACTAATGGTTTTTGGGACCTGACGAGCTGTTGTAATGTGAGCAGGGTAATATTTTGTTAAGGAATTCAGGAAAGCCAGTTAGCCGAACTTGAGTCCTGGAAATGGGAAGTACAATGCCTGCACTTTAAAGGAGGGGTTTGGGATACTGGCAGTTTGGAGGGACATCTAAACTGTCGTATCTGAGCGCCTCTGCAAAGACAGTGATTATGTATGAGTGATGGTGAAAATGTTGAATGATGAAAGTTTTTTCTTTCTCTTCAGGTTTTCCTTTCTTTTTGAGTCACCCTGCCTTGGTGGGAAGCAGCTGACATGTTAAAAAAAAATAGTGGATTATTCAAAATAAAACATTCTATACACTCCAAAGTGATTAAACATACTCTTGTACAATGCTGATGATACATTTGGAAATAAAAATGCCAAGGAATAAAATCTGTTTCATATTTTCAGATTGTGACACTACTGGTAATTTAAATTTGTTAAATAGTAAATCACTTTTTTTTTTTTTTTTTTTAACACTCCGGCCATCTCCCACCAAAGTACGGTGACCTGACAAAGAAGAAAACCTTTCATTGTCATTCATTCAATCACTGTCTTGCCAGAAGGGCACCAACACCATAATTCAGATGGCCCTCCAAACCGCATCATCCCCACCCCTCCTTCCGAGTGTAGGCACTGTGTTTCCCACCTTCAGAACTCAAGTTCGGATAACTGGTTTCACTGAATCCCTTTATAAATGTTACCTTGCTCACACTTCAACAGCACGTCAAATCAGAAAAATCACTTGCCTTCACTCACTCCTATTTAAATCCTGCAGCATGCAATGCACAATGAGGAAAAAACTGCGACCATGTTTTTTTTGGTTTAAAGCAGCGAATTTGCGGTGTATTTTCGTACAGTTTTTATAGTTGTATTCGTGGTTTCTTAATCTCATTTGACAGAATCAAGGATATTACAAAAAAAGAGATGATTTTAATTAGATATAGGACTGAAAATAGCTTGAAATTAAGCTCAAAGTAGTGGAAATGTTTGATTTTTGCCACTTCAAGAGTAAACAAATCACATCAACTGATGGGTCTAATATGTGTTCACATATGGTCTTATTAATTTTCCTTTTATATCCATGGGGAAGTGGAATAAGAATCTTTCCTCCGTAAGCCATGCGTGTTGTAAAAGTCAACTAAAATGCCGGGAACAATGGGCTAGTAACCCCTTTTCCTGTAAAGATTACTAAAAAGAATAAGAAGAAGAAAATTGTCAAAGTGGGAAGTCTGAATGTGCGTGGATGTTGTGCAGATGATAAGAAAGAGATGATTGTGGATGTTATGAATGAGAAGAAGCTGGATGTCCTGGCTTTAAGTGAAACAAAGCTGAAGGGGGTGGGAGAGTTTCAGTGGAGAGGAATAAATGGGATTAGGTCAGGGGTTTCAAATAGAGTTAGAGCTAAAGAAGGAGTAGCAATAATGTTGAAGGATAAGCTATGGCAGGAAAAGAGGGACTATAAATGTATTAATTCAAGGATTATGTGGAGTAAAA